TAAAGCAATTATTTTCAAAGAGAACACAAAACAATTCATGCCAGCGCGTATACCAGCAACTCTCACCACTATCTTGGTTATCTTTCGGGGCTTAGCGTCCCGGCGGCCCGGTCCTCGATCAGGCATACTTTTTTGTTACACAACCCCAGGAAGCAGCCCGTAGCAGCTGTCTAACTCCCATAAACCTATTTACTGTTAAGTGAACAGGCCAATCAGTGCAAGAAACTCTACCCCATTTGTTTCCACCGCGGATCGAACCGGGAACCTTAGGATTACCAACCCCGAGCGCTGTCCACTCAGCCGTCCCTACCATCCTAAAACCGCACATTTCACCAACGAACCTTTAACTGGAACAGAGCAATTTGACCATCAAACAAGTCAGGCTGGGTACACCGTAGCCATCGGCGCCCTCATCTTGCTGCACCTTTTATTATAGACCAGAGGCCAGGAGTCATCAATTATCTACTTGTCCAATTACGAAACCTGTACATCTTTCCTCAACCAAGGCGGATTGTTCTGTATTATGAAACAGTTCATGGGCTCCGAAGGTCTACGAGGTTGTCAATAATAATAACAACAACTTTGGGTTGTGAAGTTGCCAAGCTCGTAAACTGTTTAATGAATACATACTAAACCGCTCTGATCGATGAAAGATGTACAGGTTTCGTAAGTGGATAGGTTCACTCCCCCCCTTTACCCCCCCCCCACCCACCGGAATTAATGCTGTATCAGGGATTAGGATAGCGGGGGGGGGGGGGAGAGAGACAGTGGAAGCGGTGGAAAAGTGACATTTTTTCTCTATGAACGGAACGAGAAAGAACTGGATTAGTTAAGGATAACTAATCAGAGATAACAGTATACTCAAGGATCGCTGGAGAGGAGATAACAGTATACTCAAGGATCGCTGGAGACGAGATAACAGTATACTCGAGGCTCTAAGAACATTGTAAACCAGAATACAAATTTTTGCCAGTTGAGCATCATCCTATCTATCAAGTCGGCAGCAGCAATAATTCTAGGAATGGTGGAGCAGACACTAGTAATTACTGACCGTTATCAATACAATCAGAACAACCCACAACACCAGCCCCAATCTGCCATCAAGAAGGTAATCAGTGTCCACAACACAATATAGCTCCCCGCTATGTAAAAGGACATTACTCCTAATAACCCGAGACTAACTACTAGGGGGGGGGGAGGGAGGAGAAAGACAGAGTGATACTCACTCACTCATTCTCACTCTCAAGTTCAAGTATGTTTATTGAGATAAGCAATAAATACATCTCAAAGGGATAGAGTAGCTTAGGCTATTTCTACCCCCCTTCTCACTCTCACTCACTCAGAGAGAGTGAGTGAGCCTCGGTCTTTATTAGAGTTCAGTAATATTTCTTTCTCTAGACTTCTTTCCACTACTTTTAAATTTGTGTGTGGTCTATTTTCTTCGATTCCACATTCCATGACATGGCATATATTCACATTGAATTCCATTTGCCACCTGACGCTCCAAGCAATTGTCTAGATCAATTTGAAAGGCAATAACTTTCTGCGATTCCTATTGAAGGGAAAGTCTGCGTCTCCTATCTTCCACCAGTATCTTAGCCTCATCCACAAACATGTTCATATAATTCTGTATTCCTTCTGGCAGATGGTTTATGTAGACGATGAACATTACTGGTGCAAGAACTGAACCCTGTGGTACTCCGCTAGTAACACTCCTCCAGTCAGATACATTGTCTCTGATTACTGCCCTCATCTGTCTGTCTGTCAGAAAAAATTTCATCCATGTCAGCAGTCTCCCTGTCACCCCTCCAGCATGTTCCAGTTTCCAGAACAGCCTCTTTTGTGTGTGTATTCACCTAGTTGTATTCACCTAGTTATGCTTCAGGTTGTTTCGCCAGGTTTATTTTCAGTCTCTTCATTTCCGAGACGAGCCTCGTCGCAAACTTCTGAACCTTTTCTAGTTTCCTTACGTGTTTCTTTAGGTGGCGGAGGCATACTCTAATAGTGTGTGTGTGTGTGTTTACTAGTTGTGTTTTTACGGGGGTTGAGCTTTGCTCTTTCGGCCCGCCTCTCAACTGTCAATCAACTTGTTTACTAACTACTTTTTTTTCCACACCACACACACACACACACACACCCCAGGAAGCAGCCCGTGACAGCTGACTAACTCCCAGGTACCTATTTACTGCTAGGTAACAGGGGCATTTAGGGTGAAAGAAACTTTGCCCATTTGTTTCTGCCTCGTGCGGGAATCGAACCCGCGCCACAGAATTACGAATCCTGCGCGCTATCCACCAGGCTACGAGGCCCCGTGTGTGTGTGTGTGTGTGTGTGTGTGTGTGTGTGTGTGTGTGTGTGTGTGTGTGTGTGTACTCACCTATTTGTGCTTGCGGGGGTTGAGCTTTGGCTCTTTGGTCCCGCCTCTCAACTGTCAATCAACTGGTGTACAGATTCCTGAGCCTACTGGGCTCTATCATATCTACATTTAAAACTGTGTATGGAGTCAGCCTCCACCACATCACTGCCTAGTGCATTCCATCCGTTAACTACTCTGACACTGAAAAAGTTCCTTCTAACGTCTCTGTGGCTCATGTGGGTACTCAGTTTCCACCTGTGTCCCCTTGTTCGCGTCCCACCAGTGTTGAATAGTTTATCCTTGTTTACCCGGTCGATTCCTCTGAGGATTTTGTAGGTTGTGATCATGTCTCCCCTTACTCTTCTGTCTTCCAGTGTCGTAAGGTGCATTTCCCGCAGCCTTTCCTCGTAACTCATGCCTCTTAGTTCTGGGACTAGTCTAGTGGCATACCTTTGGACTTTTTCCAGCTTCGTCTTGTGCTTGACAAGGTACGGGCTCCATGCTGGGGCCGCATACTCCAGGATTGGTCTTACATATGTGGTGTACAAGATTCTGAATGATTCCTTACACAGGTTCCTGAACGCTGTTCTGATGTTAGCCAGCCTCGCATATGCCGCAGACGTTATTCTTTTTATGTGGGCTTCAGGAGACAGGTTTGGTGTGATATCAACTCCTAGATCTTTCTCTGTTCGTTTCATTAAGTACTTCATCTCCTATTCTGTATCCTGTGTTTGGCCTCCTATTTTCACCACCTAGTTCCATTACTTTGCATTTACTCGGGTTGAACTTCAACAGCCATTTGTTGGACCATTCACTCAGTCTGTCTAGGTCATCTTGTAGCCTCCAGATGCTCCTTGTAGCATCTGTAGCCTTGTGTGTGTGTGTGTGTGTGTGTGTGTGTGTGTGTGTGTGTGTGTGTGTGTGTGTGTGTGTGTGTGTGTGTGTGTGTGTGTGTGTGTGTGTGTGTGTGTGTGTGTGTGTGTGTGTACGCGCGTGCGTGCACGCGTGTGCGTGGACAACGGAATACCAAAAAGGAATTGAACTAATGCAAATGACCCAAAGGATCTATTTAGCGCATTCGGCCATTATTACTTAAAAATCCAAACCATAGAGAGAGAGAGGGAGAGGGTGTGAAAGGAGAATCAAGTGCGAATTACCATCAATAACCGGCAATAAATACATTCCCTTCCCCCAAAGTTCTAATCATTACCTCTTACACACTGTATAATTACAACGATTTTCCACGCCTTCAACATGTCACTATTTAAGATACGAATTCGTGGATTCAATTATCTGTGAAATGAAAAAAAGGGGGGGGAGATAGATTTAAGAATAAGGTGCTTTCCTACTAGGGGGGAGGTACTCCTTGCTACCTTTCCTACTAGGGGGGGAGGTACTCCTTGCTACCTTTCCTACTAGGGGGGAGGTACTCCTTGCTACTTTCCTACTAGGGGGAGGTACTCCTTGCTACTTTCCTACTAGGGGGGAGGTACTCCTTGCTACTTTCCTACTAGGGGGAGGTACTCCTTGCTACTTTCCTACTAGGGGGGAGGTACTCCTTGCTACTTTCCTACTAGGGGGGAGGTACTCCTTGCTACTTTCCTACTAGGGGGAGGTACTCCTTGCTACTTTCCTACTAGGGGGAGGTACTCCTTGCTACTTTCCTACTAGGGGGGAGGTACTCCTTGCTACTTTCCTACTAGGGGGGAGGTACTCCTTGCTACTTTCCTACTAGGGGAGGTACTCCTTGCTACTTTCCTACTAGGGAGGAGGTACTCCTTGCTACTTTCCTACTAGGGGGAGGTACTCCTTGCTACTTTCCTACTAGGGGGGAGGTACTCCTTGCTACTTTCCTACTAGGGGGGAGGTACTCCTTGCTACCTTTCCTACTAGGAGGAGGTACTCCTTGCTACTTTCCTACTAGGGGGGAGGTACTCCTTGCTACTTTCCTACTAGGGGGGAGGTACTCCTTGCTACCTTTCCTACTAGGAGGAGGTACTCCTTGCTACTTTCCTACTAGGGGGGAGGTACTCCTTGCTACCTTTCCTACTAGGGGGAGGTACTCCTTGCTACTTTCCTACTAGGGGGGAGGTACTCCTTGCTACCTTTCCTACTAGGAGGAGGTACTCCTTGCTACTTTCCTACTAGGGGGAGGTACTCCTTGCTACTTTCCTACTAGGGGGGAGGTACTCCTTGCTACTTTCCTACTAGGGGGAGGTACGCCTTGCTACTTTCCTACTAGGGGGGAGGTACTCCTTGCTACTTTCCTACTAGGGGGAGGTACTCCTTGCTACTTTCCTACTAGGGGGAGGTACTCCTTGCTACTGCTTCCTGGGGGTGGAGGCCTGGTCGAGGACCGGGCCGCGGGGACACTAAAGCCCCGAAATCATCTCAAGATAACCTAACCAGTTCCACAATGTGTGTCGATATAACCGGTTGTAGATGCTGCTCGTTCTCTTCATTCGCCACTCCGTCAAAAATCCAACCTACTAACCTAACCAGAAACGTACCAACCCAAGCAACCCACCTAACCTACCAGGGCCGATGCCTACACACAAAAAAACTACAGTAATAAAGTGTAAAATTGTTACTAATGCGTCGCATTTGTAACGGATTGTTTTTATTGAACAACTTCACCAATTACCAGTGGTGGGATCACCAGTGCCACTATTACCAGTGGTGGGATCACCAGTGCCACTATTACCAGTGGTGGGATCACCAGTGCCACTATTACCAGTGGTGGGATCACCAGTGCCACTATTACCAGTGGTGGGATCACCAGTGCCACTATTACCAGTGGTGGGATCACCAGTGCCACTATTACCAGTGGTGGGATCACCAGTGCCACTATTACCAGTGGTGGGATCACCAGTGCCACTATTACCAGTGGTGGGATCACCAGTGCCACTATTACCAGTGGTGGGATCACCAGTGCCACTATTACCAGTGGTGGGATCACCAGTGCCACTATTACCAGTGGTGGGATCACCAGTGCCACTATTACCAGTGGTGGGATCACCAGTGCCACTATTACCAGTGGTGGGATCACCAGTGCCACTATTACCAGTGTTGGGATCACCAGTGCCACTATTACCAGTGGTGGGATCACCAGTGCCACTATTACCAGTGGTGGGATCACCAGTGCCACTATTACCAGTGGTGGGATCGTTTGCCGCCATCAGTTAACTGAAGAATCAACATTAAATTCTCACACTGACTGGAAACCAGCGTGAAATTTGATTACTCTCGTGCAATTGAAACTTTGATGGGCTTTGCCCAACAAACTGGAAACTGAATTGAGTCATAGAATATACCAAACTCTCTTACCCGGAAAATACAGTAATGTTCCGTTGAAAAGGGTGCAAAAAAATGGCCCGAGAGCTATAGTCCAACTCACAAAAGTAGAGTACCCTACTCTCCCAGCAAGCATTATAAATATTGCCTGAACAATGGTGAACATCTTCAAGAACAAATTAAATAAGTTCTTGCAAGAAGTGCCGGACTAACCAATCAGATTGTAGTGGATATGTGGGCCTGCGGACCACTCCAAGCAACAGCCTGTTGGACCAAGTTATCACACGTCGAACCAGGCCCCAGGCCAGGCTCGGGGAGTAGAAGAACTCCCAAGACCCCTCCCCAGGTAAACCAGGTAAGTACACTTGCCCTAATCTACCCCACAACCCAACATAGGTAAGCCTCCCCTAGCACCCTCATGTTTGACCTCTACGGGATCACCGCAGTTGGTCCATCAATCTAGACGAGGGAACATAATGGCCGCTGAACTGGCCGGCTCCTGACCTCAAGCAGCTCCCAACATTTACTGTCTGCCTGGAGATAATCAAAGGCCATAATGACCATATTTTCGCAGAATCCAATCCACCTGAAGCCCAAGACAAGAGTTAATTAACTTTTTGTGGCATTCAAGTCGAGGGGCACGATTCTCTCTCTCTCTCGTGGGTTTATTGTGCATCTCCGAGAACCTTCTTAGGTTCTTAGGAATCATTTCGCGGTACTGTTGTATACCGAAGAACCCCCGCAAAAGCAGGCTCTTGTGGCGCCCGTTCGAGCTACTTGAAAAATAAATGGTATTACCCTGACCTGAAGAGCAGGGAGGGCTTATGCTCGTTAGGAACTTGCCAATAACATATTTTGTTTCCAACTGGAGGCCATGTCTGACTCGTAGATTATTGTCAGTGGACTTGTGCAAGTGTTTTGTTTGATGGGCGATGTGCTGCTTAGAGCAATGTTGATTTATTGCTAGTAATTGAAGGTGTTACTAAGTTCATTATTTTTTTTTTTAAGGAAAGATGACGGGGAGGATTTTTTCCCCCCCCATTATCGCTTTTGAACATATATTGTTTGTATTCGGATTTTTATCGTCGACGATGTAAATCCAATGGGATTTATAATAATTTTTTCGTGTTTTTAATTTAAACACACATTATATATATATATATATATATATATATATATATATATATATATATATATATATATATATATATATATATATATATATATATATATATACACACACACACACACACACACACACACACACACACACACACACACACACACACACACACACACACACACACACGGGTACCACCACTGGTGTAATTAAAGGGACCCACATCATCGGAGAAGAAAATAAAGTGTTCAGAGAAGACCTTGTGGATTCTTACTGAATACTTTAATCTTTTCCTTTCCTACCACATCTATTATTTTTTTATTGATTTTGTTTTATTTGATTTTATTGCAATGCTTCAGTTTACAGAGAGCGCTCACTTATATAGCAATAACCAATGACCCAACAGCTCTCTCTCTATATTATATATATATATATATATATATATATATATATATATATATATATATATATATATATATTATATAATTTGTTTTATTTAAACTTGGTTACAAAAAAGGAGTTGCTGGTTACATATAGGGTACAAAGATGATTATCATAAGTTGTCGAGTTCCTCCAGCTCCTCAGATGGCGGGCAGGAACCCTGAATGCAGTGTGTGCACTTCCCCTCTGTATCGCCACGCTGAGGCGCTGGAAAAGGAAGCTGACTGAGTGTTGTTGGGTCATTGGAGGGGAAATAGCTTTGGCAACCAATGACTTAACAGTCTGGTAGCCATTTGGTCTGAGTGCTGGACTAGTCGAGGTGTTCATTACCCTGTCAGTCTAAGGTTTGAACCTTTTACGGGAGAAGCTCTTTCTGAGATATATATATAAAGAGTAAAGAATAAAAGAATAAGCGTATAAAGAGACAAGAGTAAAACAACTGGTGTCCCTTAAGCCTCGAGGTTATCTTGATATGATTTCGGGGCTTTTAGTGTCCCGCGGCCCGGTCCTCGACCAGGCCTCCACCCCTCCAGGAAGCAGCCCATGCCAGCTGACTAACACCCAGGCACCTGTTTTACTGCTAGGTAACAGGGGGCATAGAGTGAAAGAGACTGCCCATTGTTTCTCGCCGGCGCCTGGGATAGTACCCAGGACCACAGGATCACAAGTCCAGCGTGCTGTCCGCTCGGCCGACCGGCTCCCGGTCTCTTTATACTCCAAACTCAGCTACACTCTCTTGAGCTACACACACAGATCACACTAACGTGATGCATCAAAGAACAAATCCACAAGGCCGTGACGAGGATTCGAACCTGCGTCCGGGAGCATTTCCAGACACTGCCTTAATCCTGTCGTAGCTCAGTCGATTAAGGCAGTGTCTGGGATGCTCCCGGACGCAGGCTCGAATCCTCGTCACGGCCCTTGTGCATTTGTTCACTCTCTTGAGCCTCACCGGCTCACCTATACACCTATAGCACACCTATAATATAGTTATCATTCATTTGCCCACCTTTTCCTTAGACACAGTTATCTTGGCCCTTGCAAGGGAATAAGTCACGTACCACTCCTGGATCATACCTGGAGTGGGGATTCTGGGAGCTGTTCTTTGACTTGTGATAACTTAGTCCAACAGGCTGTTGCTTGGAGCGGTTCGAAGGACCACGTATCCACTACAACCCGGCTCGTCCGGGTTGCAGGAAATTATTTTTTTTTTGTTTCCCGGTAATATTTTAATGGTTACTGGGAGGATATTAAACAGCTGTGGATCCCTCAGGTTCATATAGCACTTTGTGATTGTGCCTATGGCACCTCTACTCTTGACTGGGTCTATTCTGCATTACCGTACATAGTTTGCTCTAGTATTTCAAGTCAGATACCATCAACGTACCTTGGGTCAAGACAGCTACCATCATGGTACTGAGGGTCAAGAGAGCTACCATCATGGTATCTTGGGCCAAGAGAGTTACCATCATGGTATCTTGGGTCAAGAGAGCTGTCATCATGATATCTTAGGTCAAGACAGCTACCATCATGATATCTTGGGTCAAGACAGCTGACATCATGGAATCTTGGGTCAAGACAGCTGACATCATGATATCAAGGAACAAGATAGATGACCAACCAGGGTCAAGACGGACCACCTCATAGCGTCTGCTCAACCGGCACATCACCGCAACTATCGCTACCTAAACAAAAAAAGAAGTAGCGCAGGGCAGCTGTAAAAGTTTTTACGGACAGCTTAGGCCGTGGGAAATGCTGGCGGGAAAAATGAGGCGGATATACCAATATTAGTGTTGGTATACCCACCTCCGGCTATGAGGCGGGTATGCTCGCTTCGGTATAGTGTTGGTATACCCTCCTCGACCAGTCCCCCCTGGGTGTGTCCACCAGAGAAAACGGGACATGAACTATAACAAGATAAAGAGCATGGCGGAACCACAGAAAAGATGACACAGGCGGAACCTCAGAAAAGAGGATAACAGAAGACAGAACCTCAGAAACTACGACGAAGGAGGAGGAGAGACATGGCAAGACGAAGCTGGAGAAAACAGGAAGAGCGAGAACGATAAGAGGAGGGAGGAGGTAGAGATTGAAACAGTAGATAGCCTTAAATACAAGAGTTACCCCCTCTCATAGACCAGGCAGCAACATCCCCCCCCCCTCCCTTCCCCCCTTATGCAACACTAACAATAATTCAAAGCCGTAGACAGTGAATATATCCTTTAGAAGAGTCACAGAGTCCGTCTGAGGGAGGGAGGGAGGGGAGAGAGAGACAGAGAGAGCGAGACAGAGAGCGAGACAGAGAGAGCGAGACAGAGAGAGCGAGACAGAGTGAGCGAGACAGAGCGAGACAGAGAGAGCGAGACAGAGAGAGCGAGACAGAGTGAGCGAGACAGAGTGAGCGAGACAGAGAGCCAGGGAGAGCAAGAGCGAGCAAGAGCAAGCAAGAGAGCAAGAGCAAGCGAGAGAGCAAGAGCAAGCGAGAGAGCAAGAGCAAGCGAGAGAGCAAGAGCAAGCGAGAGAGCAAGAGCAAGCGAGAGAGCAAGAGCAAGCGAGAGAGCGAAAGCGAGTGTCCAGAAGTGAAGAGAACAGACAAAAAAGTGAATATGTATATTATATATACACATACATATGAATGGCAGATAAAGACAGGAACTAAAACAGGCAAGAAGTGTAAATTATTAAGGTTTGGCAAGGCCCTGTGGGGCGGGGCGGGGGAAACAAATCCTGCTCTCACAATCCAGCTACTGTATTCTGGTACACGGTCACCCGCCGCGCACGCTCACCATAAATATGGCTCCCTCCCTCCCTCACTCTCACACATGGGCGAGGCGTCCCAGAACCCCTTCACTACACCCCCCTTACCTCACCCTGGGACAAGACCCCTTAGTTTACCATGGGGCAAGACCCCTTAGTTTACCTTGGGACAAGACCCCTTTAGCCCACCATGGGGACAAGACCCCTTAGCCCACCATGGGACAAGACCCCTTAGCCCACCATGGGACAAGACCCCTTAGTTTACCCTGGGACAAGACCCCTTAGCCCACCATGGGCCAAGACCCCTTAGTTTACCCTGGGACAAGACCCCTTAGTTTACCATGGGACAAGACCCCTTAGTTTACCATGGGACAAGACCCCTTAGTTTACCCTGGGACAAGACCCCTTAGTTTACCCTGGGACAAGACCCCTTAGTTTACCATGGGACAAGACCCCTTAGTTTACCATGGGACAAGACCTTTTGCTCACTGTATACAAAGTGCTAAAATCCCTTGAAACTTTGTAAAATGAAGCTGTTTAAGTCATCCTTGGGGGGCAGCAAAGTCC